GCCTTCCTTCCTTCCTTCCTTCCTTCCTTCCTTCCTTTCCTTTCCTTTCCTTCCTTTCCTTCCTTTTCTTTCCTTCTTTCTTTCCTTCTTTCTTTCCTTCTTTCTTTCCTTCTTTCCTTGTTTCTTTCTTTTCTTTTCTTTTCTTTTCTTTTCTTTTCTTTTCTTTTCTTTTCTTTTCTTTTCTTTCAAGGTCTTACTCTGTAGTCCAAGCTGGCCTTGAACTTACTATATAGCCTGGGTTGACCTCAAACTCGTGGTGATCCTCTTGCCTCAGCCTCCCAAGTGCTGAGATTACAGCATTACACTTAAAAAAGAAGAAAAGCAGCACATCGCTGTGACTGCTGGTGGTCCCTGTGTGCTGCCTCCTGTCGGGAAGTCACTGTTCTGACATCCTTTACAAGGATTGGTTTTGCTGGTCGTCAAACTTCTCGTGAATGGAAAACCATATGGTGTTGATTTTTTGCTTGGTTCTTTATGCTCAGTGTGTTTTGGGGTTCACTTGTGTTGCCTGTGCCCCATGTGGTACTGATGTGACTCCAGTGATCTTTGTTTCCTTGCTTTGTGGTATAGCAAGGCACATGTATCTGTCTTGTGTATGTGCAACCTAGGAGGGCAGGTCTGCAGCTTTTAACTGTCCCCAGCAGAAAACCATCAACCCTGCAGACACGCGTCTCCTGCTTTTATTTCCCTTTGCTGTGACCTGATTTCTTGTTTGACTTCTTTCAGCCCTCGAGCATGTGCCAAACTCTGTTCGCTTGTGGAAAGCGGCTGTTGAGCTGGAAGAGCCTGAAGATGCTAGAATCATGCTCAGCCGAGCTGTGGAGTGCTGCCCCACCAGTGTAGAGGTGAGTCTGTCCAACTCAGGGTCACCACCCTCACCAGGGAAGGTCCAGTCCAGGGTCTGGGGGTCGCATGTATAGGGCAATGTGCTTGCTGGGCTGCCGTTTTTTGGCAGCAGAAGGTGGTCTGTGATGCAGGGTGAGGCTCTGCAACAGCTGCCAGGTGGGGTGGTGGCTGCCTTCTGTCAGCACAGAGTGGTGGCTGGCACACAGCGCGGGAGGTAGGCCTGCAGAACTGAGTCTTTGCTTGTCTCTGCTCACAGCAGAAGACTATGTTGGATATGTGTAGGACCGTCCCTTCTAACTTTCATTATTTATTATTACTAAGTTTATTGGTACCATTTATATATATACATAATGATCACATTCATCATAGGGAATTTATGCCTGTTCATGATATGTCTTGATTCTTTTTTTCCCATTTCTCTCCTTCCTTCAACCCCTCTCCCCCTCATTATTTACAAAGCTTTGTTTCCATTTATCCTTCTTTTCTTATTTCTTTTACCTTCGTTCCTATCCTCCTCCACCCCTCCTTAGTTCCCCTTTCCTTTTGAACAGTTTCTTCCCGTTTCATAATATGTTACACATTGTAGTTTTTATTTACACTTTGTTTCTCACACCAGAGAGATAGTGTGTTATTTACATGTTTGTCCAAATTATTTCACTTAAGAGTATGGTTTCAAGGTCCATCCATTTAGCTATAACTGTCTCAACTTTATCCTTTATGACAGAGTAGTACTCTGTTATAGAGAAAAAAACCACATCTTTTTTATCCGTTCATCAGTTAATGGGCATTTGGGCTGTTTCCAAGATTTGGCTATTACAGACTGCCACTATAAGCGTGGGTATGCATATATCCCTGTGGTATGATGCTTTTAATTCTTTCAGAAAGATACCAAGAAGGAGAAGAGCTGGGTCAAATGGAACCTCTAGTCCTAGTGTTTTGAGAATTCTCCACACTGATTTCCACACTCCCACCAGCAGTGGAAGGGGGTTCTTTTTTTCCCACAGCCCTCCTAAGGGCTGTCCCTTCTAATGTAGCCCAGAGTTTGTGAGTGGGAACTGAAGAGCAGTAGTGTAATGGGAGGCTTGTTCTGTCTTCTTGCTGGGCCAGCATGAAGCCAGCTCTTTGCCTCAGAGCCAGTAGCATTTCTTTGCTTTAAATCTTCTGGTTAACACAGCCTTCTACACAGTGATTTCTCTTCTTGGTCTTTCTGGTCTTTTGAGACGGGGTTTTGTTATGTAGTTCAGGCTGGCTAGCTTTTTTTTTTTTTTAATTATTTTAAAGAGTAAAAGAAGGATAACATGGTAATAGGGGGGCTTACGGAATTACAGACAAAGTAGTAGGAAATTATCAGTGGTTGTTTTAGATATTGTTATCTACAAGATAGTTTCTCAGGAAAACAAATGGACAGATAATAGTGAGTTACAGACAAAAGTGGTAGGTTATTATCAATGGTTGTTGTACTATACTTTGGTATCTTCAAAGTGGTTTCTAAAGAAAATAAATAGAGCTATACATGAGTGACCAATTGAATATTCATTGACTGTTCTCAACGGTTGTTGTAGGAAACACAGTAATAAACATACATCCATTTACGAAATAGCATAGGAACAATACAAACATTACAGTTATGGACAGGTTAGTAGGAAAATATCAGTGGCTGCTGTAATACATGGTGCTATCTTCAAAGTGGTTTCTCAGGAAAACAGAGATATGCAAGAAAGATCTAACAAGTAGTTACAGCCTAATGGTTGTGAAAAATAACATATTACTTCCTCACCAGTGACTCCTTCCACTGAGGTATAACGGCTGGAAGGAAGGCCAGGATTGAAAAAGAAGGACCAAGAGACTTGCACCTGTGTCTAGCAACAGGCTGTTTTCTTTTTCCTCTATAGTCTTGATTACCTGGGGCTCTTCCATGGAGATGACAGTCTGGCCAGAGGGAGAAGGCAGAGTATGCCCCGGGCCCCCTCATTCCTGTTAGACTAACTGGTAGGATGGGTCTGAGCTCTGGGGCCTCCGCTTCACAGGGCAGACTGATCTCCAGTGGTCACCTTTGCATTCAGGGCATGGCCTGGTGGGCTTCTTAAGGCAGTTCCTCTTGAGGTGGCCTGGCTTTTAACAGTGGTAGCAGATGAATGCAGTTGTCAAGTTCTTCTTGGGGCCCTGAGAATCAGACTTAAGGTCTGTTTCTCTTAGTGCTGCAGCAAAAGCAGCTGTTTTTTCTCGGTCTCTTTGTTTTCTCTCCTTGGCCTCCCCCTCCTCGTCACGGCTATAGAATACTGGGGAGGCAATTCTTACTAACATCTCAAGTGAGCCATCTGGGGTGAAAGCCATTTTTTGTAGCTTTTCTCTCCAGCTTCCCAAGTGCATTGGGGCCTCGCAACCACTTAGTGTCCTCTCCCCAACCATCAGCACAGGCAGCAGGAATTTTGGTGCAGACCTCTCTGGAGCTCCACACGCTCCTGTACTGCAGCCTGTACTGTCAGGGGAAGAATGGCTTCCAGGGGTTCTCCCCAGGTATTGCACAAGGTCGTCCTGGTTTCCAGCTTCTGAACGGCTCTCATGACCCGGGTCAACTAGACCTCTGAGTCTTAAGGCGTAGCCTATATTCTCAACGTTCTCTGAGTCCTTGTTCAGCAGCTGCTCCTCCACTGACTCTGGACCTTTCTGGTTCTCAGCAGCAGGGGCAAGAGCAAACTGTTGTGTGGCATATATTCCCAGGGGTTTCTCCGTGTTGGGATGATTCACACACGTCCGTGGGTGGGTTTCTGCTGCCGGCACATGGCAGGCCAGTTGTGTCATTGCTTCTCTGTGCCATAATAGTCCTTAACCATGTGCTGGCGCCCAGAACGCACTGCCGCGTGGCTTTCCAGGCACCAACTGTCCGCCTCCTGGGCTCCTGTGCGGCTAGGGCCCAGCCCAAAGGCCGGCGCTCCCTGCTGCACAGCTTCCTTGGTGCCGACTGCCAGACTGGTTTTCAGTTCACTGTGTAGCCCACGCTGGCCTCAAACACCCTGCCTCAGCCTCGCAAGTGCTAGCATTACAGGAGTGCACTACCACACCCACCTCATCTTGGTCTCGTGATATCTGGTATGTCTTTATCCTCACAGGTATTCTGAAATTCTCCAAGCAACTAATTGTATTTTATTTATATGAAAATGTGTAGAGCCCACGTACATTTTTTGGGTGGAATATTGCAGAATCAGTGGTGCCAGGGTGTGAGAATTCCAGGAGGCTGAGTGCCTACTTGTTTTTGCCTACTTGTTACATCTTCTTTCCCAGCTCTGCGGTCAAGTCTAGTACACTGTTACATGTGCACATTTCAGACTAGGGTTTGGAACCCCTGATCGAGAGTCCCAGCAGTCTTTCTTGTACCAGAGTTCATTGTGAAATTAGAATTGTAGCTAGACAGTTGATTGGGTCAGAAATGCTGCCATTTAAATGGCCCTTGAGAGTCTTTAGAACCACTTTGTGGAGGTGGTGTGGGCTTGTTGAAATCTACTGCTATTCATGATGGGGTACTCTGTAATCCCAGCATTCTGGGAGGCTGAGGCAGGAGGGTCTCAAGTTTGAACCCAGGCTGGAAAACTTACCAATACCTGATCTCAAGTAAAATTTTAAGTAAGTGGAGGCGGGGATTCTGGAGACATAGCTCATTGTGAAGGTCCTGCATTCAGTCCCCAGTACAGTTGGTGAGTTGGTCAGTAAACAAACAGACAGACTCACCACCTGACCTGGAGGATGGCACATAGTGCCACTAGCTTTCAGAATACTGTCCTCTCATTTTCTTGTAGCTCTGGTTGGCTTTAGCGAGGCTGGAGACTTACGAAAATGCCCGCAAGGTCTTAAATAAAGCACGTGAGAACATTCCTACAGACCGGCACATCTGGATCACGGCTGCCAAGCTTGAGGAAGCCAACGGGAACACTCAGATGGTGGAGAAGATCATTGACCGAGCCATCACTTCCCTGCGGGCCAATGGTGTGGAAATCAACCGTGAGCAGTGGATACAGGTGGGCTGCACTTTGGGGTCCTTTAAAAGCAGATGTCTTTCTACAGCTGGGGTCTCCCATGGTGTGCAGAAGGCGTTGGAGAGTTCCCACATGGGTGGGAAAAACAGGCGTAGTGTGACTTTGTTCCATTTGCCATTGCTTTCAATGGATTCAAGACCTAGAGCGGTCTTGGGGAGAGCACTTCTGAGGCATTTGCAGGGTAGAGACACCTGTGCCTAGTGTCCTTTGCTAGTAGAGATAATATGGCCTCAAAGAGACAGACAGTCTTATGCCTTTTTTTTATCTTTTGTCTGTAGACATAAGGCTAGAGAAGTCCCTGAGGATCATCTGCCATACCTCCAGGGTTTGGGTCGCTCCGCTGCTTTCTCCAAGGAGCCACCCACCGAGTGAGCCCTCTCCTCTATGGCTCTGCCAAGTGGGAGGTGCTTTGTAATGAGCCCAAACTCCTCCAAGCCGCATCCTGTTGGGTGGGTCCCTCTGCTTTACCTCCTGCCTGCTGAGCTGGCAGATGCCTGTACTCCTGCAGCCTCCTTTCTCTCATGCTGTGCTGCCACAGTCTGCTGTTCTCTGAACATCCCCTGGTGCTCCAGATGCTGAAGTGTGTTGCCACCTTCCTCTGTGAGTCTTCTTGAGGTTGGGTGGGCTCTGATGTTGCTTCATGTCCCTGGGTCTCTTGAACATTCTTGTTTAACACTTCACATGTAATTCAGGTGGGATGTTGTTCAGCCATGTAGCTCTTTTCTGTATTTGGTGATTTTCATTTTGCCTTTTAGAAAATCTCAGGTTTGGGGCTGGGGATTTAGCTCAGCGGCAAAAGTGCCTGTCTGGCAAGCGCAAGGTCGTGAGTTCGATTCCCGGTACCGGAGAAAAACCAAAAAAAAAAAAAAAGAAAAAGAAAATCTCAGGTTTAAGGCCTACATAATACATATCCCTGAACCCTAACCAGCTAGGGCAGCCCTTCTGTGTCTTTGGTCTTTCTAGTTGTCTTGTCATTTCCCCTCCCTGCCTCCCTGCCTCCCTGCCTCCCTGCCTCCTTGGTGTTTTGAGACAGGGTCTCACTATGTCATCCATGCTGGCCTTGAACTCCCAGTGATCCTCCTGCCTCTGCTGCCTCAGCCTATCAAGTGGTGGGATTACAGGTGTGTACCACCATGCTTGGCCACTGTTATTGTGTTTCTGATGTTCTGTTTCTCTGATTTCCCACCTGTTGTCATTTTTTTTCTGTTTGTGTCTGTTGGTCAATCTGTCTGTCTGTCTCTGTTGTACTGGACATTGAACCCAGAGCTTTGAGCGTGTTGGACAAGGACTCTACCCAGTGTTCTACCACTGAGCTGTATCTTTTTATTTTGTTTTGAAATTTTGAGACAGGGTCTTGAATTTGGATCTCCCTGCCTCAGCCTCCCAAGTAGCTGGGATTACAGGCATTGCCACTATACCTAGTTTTTAACATTTCTTGTAGTGTAGGTCTGCTGCTGATACAAATTCATTCTGCTCTGTTTGTCTAGAGAAAGTCTTTATTTTAATCTTTTGTTGTTGTTGTTCCTGGGGATTGAACCCAGGGCTATGGCATTAAGCTACTTTCCCAGCAGTCTCTTATTTTTTACTTTGAGGTAGGCTCTCACTAAATTGTCCAGGCAGTTGTTGCACTTGGAATCCTTATATCTCAGCCTCTCAAGGTGCTGGGATTATAAGCATGTGCTTACTGCACTTAGTTACCTTTGCTCTTGAAAATTATTCTTGCTGGGTATAAAAGTCTAGGGTGGCACTTTTTTTCCATAGTAAATTCAGAGAACTTGCAGTCCTTCTGCCTCAGTGTGTGCCACCATAACAGGTCTATGTTAGTTCTTGTATATGGTGTGAGGTCAGGGTTCACCCTCAGTTTTTGGCATGCATACACCCAGTTGTCCTTGCTGTACTAACTGTTGTTGCTCTATTGAATAATCTTGGTACCCTTGTCAAGAATCAAGTGATCATCAGTGTGAGGGTTGATCTCTGGACTCACGGTACTGCTGTTCCATTTGTCTCTGTAGCTGTCTTAATGTAA